GTTACAAATATCTGCAATCTTCTTTTCCCTAATGATTTCACAGTGCTCTCTCCTCGGTAAAGCATGAGAGGAGTAAGGCTTTGTTTTTTGTTAAAAAAAAGAAAAAAGAAAGTAGTTACAGGCGATTTTCCCAGTGGTTTCTAAGTAGATTAGCAACATCAATTTGCAGCAAAAATTAGCTAAGAACCAGCAAGTTAGAGATTGAAGACATTTGTGTACTAGAGCTGTGATATAATAGTTACACTTGTATCAAAATTAAAGTAATTTAATACCTTGGTGTGATTAAAGAATACAAGTGAAATTACCATAGTTTCAGAATGTCTTGGCTTTTAGCGATGGCAATGTTTGTTATTTTTAATTTCTTGATTTTTTTTTTCTCCTTTCTAAACAATGTAAAGGGAAGAAAAATTAACTTTTCTGCAACGCAAATCCTCTGTTTACTTTTAGAAAAGCTTTGTTTCGATTCATTTATTAATTACTTTTAGAAAAGGAAGCAAAGACGTGGGTATAAGTATGTTGTAATGCTCATTTTCAGAACCTTACATCTCAATGCTTCTAATACTTGCAGTCTGGCATTGATTGTAAGTATAATAGGTTATTTCATGCTGCTTGTCTTTATATTCCTGGTTATGATACTGAAATGTTAAGACCACACACAGACAACAAGATCTCCAGCCACTTACACATGTAAACAGTCTGGCTTTTTACAAAGTGGAAAAATATTTCTTGTGCAGTATTTTAACATGATCAGCATGTTAAGGCTCAATCTGCAACTGTGTCAACATTTCTTTGGCTGTAACCATTAATTCTGTAGCCTCTTGATAATATGTAAAATGTGAGACTGGTTTGTTTACTACTGGGATTTGTCAGCAATTACTGTCTGCATTTAGCTTAGTGCTTTCAAATATATAATAGATCAAAGACTTATTTTGCATCATCACTGTGGTTTTAGTAAAACAAAGGATTTTCCCCCCCCCCCCAGCTGGCTTTGGGCTCTTCAAAGGGCCATGGAGCAATAACTTTCATAAATATTGTTCTTATACCTGTTTGATATTAGTAGGCACAGGTACAATACATTAAATAACCTTCTATAACTGCTGGTGCACATGAATTTAGCTCCAGAGACAGGAACATGCATCCCTTTCTTGAGTTATCTTGAGACCTGGCATGGCCTCAACAGAGCTGGGAATCTTTGTTTTGTTTGTTTTTGTGTAATCAGTGCATGTTTTCAGCATTCTTATTACCATCAGGAACTGCAAGTGCTGTGGTCATGTGCAGTATTATCTAAGCCCCACCTAATTTCCAGCACAAAGAGTTGTGAGGATTACAAGTTCTGATTTGATTATAGCTAATAAGAGTAAGATGGCACAGAAGCATTTTAATGGACATCAGATCTGTTCAAATAATAAGTATTTGGGTTTCTTTTATCTCCGTTCTCGAAGTCTTTATAATATATTTATGAATTTAGTTTCAGGGTATCTTTGAGGTTTTACAGGTATCAAAAAAACCCGAAAATCCCAAACTTATTAGACAAATCTGCAGAACTTTGGTAAGGATTTTTTCTTTATTTAAAAGCAGGCTGTAAAATCACTAAAACTTGCCACTGCTCCTGAGAAGGTTGCCATTAATTAATTCCATTATCTCAGGGGCACTAGGTTAAAATATCTCACCTGAACTTTTCTTATAATTTTGTACAACTCAGAAGTTGCTGGTTTTTTAATGAGTATTTTATTTAAGAGATAAAAATAATGACACACCAATCCATAAGACTGACTCTTTAAAAATTCCAAAATGCAGATATTGCAATATGGATGAGGTAAATTACTGGAGGGAAGTTCAGTCTTAGAAGTAGTCAGCTGACAGAATAAAACTTTTAAAAGGCAAACTTGCATTTTTAAATTCACTATTATAAAGTGTTTAATAAATGTGTCACTATTAGTATGGGAGATTAGGAAAGCTTTCAGTTTGGAGATCACTGTCTTTTAGTTTTTAAGGCTTGAATGCTTTTTGCTGCTTAAATTCTGTTGCCATTACTGAACACCACTCAAACCATAAGTTTTGCTAAAATTTGAATGAATCTTTTGTCCAGTAAAACCCAAACATACTGTTCTCCCAAAAAGCATATGAACAAAGAGAATGGATGTATTTCATCATTCCTGCTCTGCTGTCTGGCCCAGCTTCATTTCCTTAAATATAAATTTAAGTGAGGCAGCAAGTGGTCTTTATCAGTTAGTTAAAACTGAGTTCTTGGTACTAGTTTTGTTTTTGAAGATTTTAAACATTGAACTTTTATTGTGAATTTTGTGCAAAGAATTGGTTTAATACAATAATTGGAACAGAATTTTTTACTATTTGTTTTCCCTGCAAAGGTTTTATTTTGGACATACCTACCAGCTACGTATCCAAGTCTTTTGAATGGTAACAAATCCCAGGCTTTAAGAAGCAGCAGTAATTGTAATTTGAGTTTTGTGATGAGCCCTTTTGCCCTTGGCTCAGGAATCTCCCCACTAAGTTGTACACATCTGGGAAAATCAGTTTACATTTATTCAGTAGATTCAATTTTTAGTTGGGAAAACCCTCTACTGAGAGGGAATCTCCAGTGAACTGAGTGGCCCCTGCTGCACTGGAGGTGAGAGGGGGGAAGAGGGATCCTGTCCAATCTGAAAGTAAAGAAAGGATGGGATGACCTAAACAAAAAACCCCAACAACAACAAATAGCAGACAAACCAGAAACTGCTGAAGGTCCCTGTTATTTATGGGGCAGGGACTGGGGGTGGCTGGTGTGAGAAGGGGCTCCAGGGATTTGGTAGTTTGGGCAAGGAATGGAGGCTGGTAGGAGAGCAGTGGAGCAGGAATGAGGAGAAAATTCCTTGTGGATGCCAGGGCTGGAGCAGGGGTGTGCAGGTGGTGTCAAGCTGAGAGCTGAACTAAGAGGTGATGTGGAGAGAAGGGTAGGAACAGGACAATAGTGTCCTGCTTGCCCTTTCTTTTCCCAAGGTATGGAGCAGCAGGACTAAACAGGAATTACCGATGGCTTGATAATGAGATGAGGATTAGGAGCAGTAAATTATATTCAAACTGATGGGAAATCTTGAGTGGCAAGATTAAGTGTTTTTGGCAGCTTGAAATAGGGAAGTGATTAGGAATATCCAGATGCTGGGAAGCATAAATTTTGAGGGATGATGAGCACAATTGTCTGCTTTATGTTTCGTGTTCCCCTTTGCACCCTGGGAGGAGAACCTGCAGCCCCTGAGGTGGCGCAGAGACACAAAATGTTTTATCCTTCCCCAGTGCTAATCCAAAGAAAGGCTGATGGTTTACTGCAGGTTAATTGTATTGATTCAGTGGGGGCAGATGTCTGTGGCGCTTCCCATCCAGCTGATTTCCCTGTGGGAGTCAACGTGTCACCATATGGGAGATTTTCCTTAATCAGTTTTCCACCTGCCCTTACCAAGGTCGTGTTCAGAAACTGTTTCACTTCCCAAATGTTCCTGCGGTTTCAAGGAGCGTGTGCGGTGTCCGTGACCTTTTCTGAAGTCTTTCTGTACTATTTTGTGGTTTCTGTTTTATCACTGCTTCACTCTGTGCATTTTTATACAGTTAGATAAAATATTTTATATGAAGAGGGTGTATTTCTCATAATGGCTTTTAAACACCTGAATTTTTCAGAAATACTTGGTTGATAAAAATCAAAGATTTTTTTGTAAGTTTATTTTTTTTTTTTGGTGTTTCTTTGAAAACCTAATGAAGGGAGGTTGAAGGCCATATTGAAAGACTTTAAAGCCAGCAAGATTTGGAGCATCAAATACTCTTATCATGTTACAGTAATTAATATTAATGAATTAAAATGTTTACACACCCTGATCTCCAGTGCTCTCTTTGATGTTAATTACTTTTCAGTAGATCATGAGTTCATTCTTCATATCAGGCAAGTAAGGAAATATTTCCTCTTCATTTACCTGTGTCCCTTAGCAACACAGGAGGTGTTAGTAGTTGATGAATAACATATATTTTTGCTGTATTTGTTATATGGAAATGCTTGTTTTCTCTCTTTTTAAAAAACTCTGAGTGGAACTTTGTTACTAAATTCAAGCAAAATATAATATAAAGATGCAAATACTTGGCCGTGGGTAAATATAATGAAGCTTAACAGTGTTCTTGGACGTGTTAAAGCCAAGTTGGTTTGTTTTCTTGCTCATGTGAATCAGATAAAAAGGACTTCACTCGTTCCTGTCGCTGTGGTTCCTGATGTCCAGGAGCTGTGATCTGTCATGTGCTGCCATCTCTTCCTTTTAGCAGACAGTTGTGCAGCTATCATGCCATCAGTTTTTTTCATTAAAAAGTGAACTGTTGCTTTCCAAAACATAATTCCCTCTCAGTCTGTAAAAGGGTAATTGCCTCTTAGTCTGTAAAGTAGATGTGTTGGGTTTTTTCCTGTTGAAATCCATGGAGGAAAAAGTAGTTTTTAACTTAATCTATAGAGTGCAGTCCTTCCTGTGTGGCTCTTGATAAAGATGCAGACTTGTAGGAAGTGAAAACTCAGCCATGGCTGTTCTAGCTCTGCAGGTATTGTTGAAGTTCCTTAGTTGGCACAGTCCTGTCTTTGGCAGGTGATTCTTGCAGCATGTGAGGGTTCATCCTTTGGTTTTGTTCCTGTGATTTTCACACTTAATTGTATGACAGTTTTGGGTTTTTGACCAGTGAAATCACATTATATCAGTAGCATCTGTTATCATGTGTTTTAGTGTAAGATTTCTGACTTCTGGTAGGCATTGCTTGGGTTCTATCAGAAATGTTCTTGCCGTGTACAAAGGGGCCTTTCCATCTTGTCAACTTGTCTTTTTGAACTCTGTGGATGTCCAGTAGTTTGGGCACAGGTGAGTATTGTAACTGGGAGAAAAGAAACTTTCTGCCCTGCAATATGATCTGTCTGTTGGAAGGATGGTTCATAGATCTGTTTATCTGCTCAGAATTTGACTATATTTTAAAATATATTCTTTTCCATTGCTACTCCTATTGGTGATACCCTTAGTTTCTGCAGCTGAGATGGACATTTTAAAAATACAATTTTTTCTTAAGCAGCTGTAACCAGAAATACATCCAGGAATCTTTCCTGTTTTAAAAGGGATTGTGAAAACAAGGTAATTAAACATAATGCAGCATTGTAAAGACTGTAGTCTTAAAAAAACTGCTTCTGTATTATGCAAAATTGATCTTTAGTTCTGCTTTCTGTGTGAGTAAAGGTGCTATTGGCAGATATGGTTTTCAGCTCTGGATTCCTTTTCTTCTAAAATTCCAACACTCTCTTGTAATATTGAACGGTAAGGATATTTAAAGCAGTTATTATTTAATTTCCCATGCATATGAAGTGAGAGTGCTTTTCAAAAACCCTTGGAAAGCAGACCTAAATACAAATCTTGTAACATTAAAACTTCAGTGGGCTCTGGCAGGTTACATTTCTTTCATACTTTTGTGTTTCCTTTGAAAGAAAAACTTTCCCAGATGGTCAGTGCAGGGTACTGAATGTGACCAGTAATTTCATGTAAGTTCATAGCCCTGTCAGAATTCCTTATTTGGATACTGAATTCTTTGCAGAGGCTTTTTCATTTTTATCTTTACACTATTAAATGAAGGCAAGTTGAGGGTAAGATTATCTGCAAGGTCACAGAGAAACTTAAAGCATGATGGACAAAGTATCCTCACCGAGCTGGAACTAGAAATAAACACCCAAAAGAAAGTATATGGCCATGCTGATAGTTATAAATGAAGTGTCAAGGTTTCAAATCTGGGAAAGTATCATCAGAATTTATAAAGTTCTACTTAAATAGTCCATTCTCCTCACTTCAGACATCTGTTACTGGTTATTGTTTGAGTGACCACCATGTACATTATACAAAAAGGAATGTGTTCTTTGTAAGATCTCTGCTAATGTGGCAGATAAAATCCCAGTGTTTGATAGCAGTGCCAAAGGGCAAAGAGGTGCTGAACAATATTCCTCATCTTTACCATAACTTTCCTTCCTGGAAAAACAGGCTTTGACAGTGGGAAAATGAAGAGTGAGATAAGGAGAGGTGGAAAGAGGCTTGGGAACTGAGAGTGATACAGACCAGAAGCAGGGGAAAAGTCTCCTCTTAGGCCGATGCACCAATAATTATTTTTCTTGTTGATTACAAATAGGAGTTATATCTCCATGCTGTGGCCATAAGTTAAAAGGACTAGCAAGTTAAGGAAGACTTGTTTTTGTTGGCATGTAGTGTAATCTGGGCCTAGTTTTTGCCTCTCTAGCAACTGGTTGTTGCCTTTTTTTAAAGAAAAATGCACCGTTTTGGTTAATGCAAAACACTGCATCAGTCTCAAAATTTCATTTTTCAGAGAATCAAATTATAATGATGGAACTGATGGAAATGATTTACTCCTTGTGAGATAGGAAGCAGTTGGCATTGAAGGTTCTCTTGTTTTTATTGATTATGGGTGTTAAATGACAGTGCAGCTGGTGGGGATGTTGTTGTCTGTGAACTTCATTTCTTTCCCCCTTGCAGAGCTAAGCAG